TGCCACACTTTTTTTTTTTTTTTTTTTAAAGGCAGGTCTTTTTATTTAGCCTTGGCTAACCTGGACCTTTCTATGAAGACCAGGTTGGCCTTGAACTCAGAGATCTGCCTGCCTCTTGACCCCCCTACACCCACACCCACACCCACTACTGGTATTAAAGGCATGGGCCACTACTGCCTGGATAAATTTAAATTTTAAATTAATTAAAAATTTTATTCTCTTTAAAAATAGGTTATGGATATCACACTCAGGTCCTGTTTGCAAGCACTTTACCAATTGAGATGTCTCTCAGTCCAGTGGAAACTTTTTGGAAAAATGACGTAATGACACTTGTTATTCAGGACCATCCTCGGGGTTTGGCACTAGGGGAGAGAGACCTAGCTTGGTTCTGAGTTTATAGTGACACAGCCAGGTGGGTGTTGATGGATGGAAAATGACTAAGGGGATTCTGGCTAAACTGGCCTAACAGAATTGCTGAAGACAGTGAGTCAATATCCCCTGCAGGCTGGTAGAGGATGAAAAAACCTCATCAGACACTGCAGATGATCAACCATCCCCAGCTCTTCCTAAACGGACTTGAGAAAACTCTTTGCTAAAACTGGATTCTACAAGGACATGCACGATGGGACTGGAAGAGGGTTCAGGAGCCTGACAAGTTTGGCCAAGCAGAGACTCTTATCAGTAGATGAACTCCAAAGCAGAGGTGTTGCAGAAGTGAGAATTCTTTTTCCTTCTTCCCAGAGATCTCTTCTCTGCCAACTCCAAGTGCCTTGAGGAGGAGGCCCTGAATCTCTCCAAATTCCTTTTGCACAGTCTACTCTCAAAGGACGTTCTTTGAGAACACTACTCTGGCTCCACAGCTTAGCATCCCATTCCAAACCACTTGTCTATTGTGTGCGGAACACACCTATTGGTGTCTTGAGAGTCCTATCTGGGAAGTACCCCAGTGTCTCATCTCTGGCCTGCATGACAACCCAGGGAAGTAGCCATGAAGGACCCCTGCTGGTGGGGCCCCTTGCAGGAGAGAGTAGATACCACTTACCTGGAGACAGATCTACAATCTGAGTCAGCAGATTGACATGCTTGAGGGTGTATGATTGAGGCAGATGCAGTCTCACCTGGGATCTGATTCTATTCTGTCTCAGAATCCATCTTACTCCATTTACTTTTTTTTCTCCCAATTTTTCTCTCTCTGGGCTTGTTCTCAGAAATGACCGTTTGGATCTCCATTTCTTAAGAGACAGGTTGAGTTTGCCCCCAGCTGCTCTTGCTACTGGTGCCCACCCTCTCCTTCCATTTCACCCAAGCTTTTAAGAGATGCTTATATTTATTGTTACAATTTCTCTGCCTCCATTCATCCTTCCTCACTATAGTTTGGCTTCTGGCCACACCACATCATTGATACACGTCTTGCCAGTGACCTCGTTGCTAAATGCAGTGGCTATTTTGGGTCTTCATCTTACTAAGATGCAGCGTCTCATCCTGTTGCCTACTCCGTTTTGGTTGAAACTGCTTTCTAGTCTGGCATGATGGTGCAGCCCTGTAATGTCAGCACTCAGGAGATTGAGGCAGGAGGATGGCAAGATTGAGGCTACATAGTGAACTCCAGGACAACTTGGGCTAAAGAGGAAGACTGCTTGAAAAGGAAGTACTCTGTGGATTTCCTCTTGCAGTGCTGGACACGGAACCCAGAGCCTGTGTGCATTTCCTTCCCCAGTCCTTTGGAGCCCTCTTTCTTAACCTCTGTCTTTCACTTGTTGGCACACAGGTACCGTCTGAATCCTCATTGTAGGCTTTGCCATTTATCCTCATGGGTTTCACACCGTGCACACACAGGTAGCTCTGGTTCTTTCTAGTTTATGAGCTAATAACCGAACTTGCCATTGGTTCATGGTTTTTAGCAGAAGACAGGTGACTTTGAGATTAAAGACCTAGGACTTCACTGCTCCGGTAGAGCAAGTAGCAGGAGTATCACCACATTTGTGTAAGTTCTTCTTGCCTCCAAGTCCTGCAAGGGCATCGTGATGGGCCCAGATGGATGCTCTATATGCAGATGGTTTGTGTCATAGCTGAGAAACATGGATCTTGGGGGTGGGGAGATCTACCGCTTATGAAGGAAGCAGTAAATAAGACTGCTCTTCATCCTAGAGGGCGGTAGTTTGGCATCCTTCAAGGTTGCTTGTTATAAGCACAGCACTGAGAAGAGGCTCAGGTAAAAAAGCAGTCTTTCCATTCACAAGTGAGAGAGTTCGAGCTCCTGGAGACTGCCTTTCAACAGCCGGCCCTTCACTTTCTTCCAGGGAGTGTGTCCTCTCCCAGGCCTGCTGCTCACGTGGAGCACTCCAGTCTCTGCTCTCTGTCAGGGACAGGCCAGAGACCCTGGAGCAAGTGCCTGCACCTAACTAACCAAGTCTCCTCACACTGACTCTGGTTCTCCACATGCTGTGTTTTGGGTTGTGTCATTTGCATATATTGTGCCACTTATCCTGTCTGCAGCTGTGAGGTTTGCTTTTTTATGATTCTGATTTCCCAGGTGAAAAAATGGGATCTTAGCCAGATTAAGTGATTGCCCAAAGTCACACAGATGGTAAAGGGCAGAGCTGGAGAGTGGAACTTAGTCTGTCTGAAAGCTTGTGTTGTTAGTACTTGATGCCATTGGTCTTCCTTTTTGAATACATCCTTCTCTGATAGATAGCTGCTGCCTTGGTGGAGCATCTGTCCTTTGACCCTATTCTCTTCTTTCTCTTCTTCTCTGTGTTAGTCAGCTTTTCTTTACTATAGCAAGTATCTGAGATTCAACTTACAAAGAAAAAAAAAGGTTTATATTGGTTCATGATTTTATTACTTTTATCTTATTAAAAAGATTTGTTTTATTTTATTTATGAGCATTTATTTGCCTGCATGTATGTCTGTATTAGGGTTTCAGATCCTTTGGAACTGGAGTTATAGACAGTTGTGAGCTTCCATATGGTTGCTGGGAATTGAACCTTGGTCCTCTGGAAGAACAGCCAGTGTTCTTAACCACTGAGCTATCTCTCTAGCTCCCTTTATTTTTATTATTATTATTTTGTGTGTGTGTGTGTGTGTGTGTGTGTGTGTGTGTGTGTGTGTGTGTGTGTGTGTGTGTGTGTGTGTGTATGTGTATGTGTATGTGTGTGTGTGTATCTGTATAGGTAGGTATGTGCACCCAAATGCAGTTGCCCTCATGGCGACCAGAAGAGGGCATTAGATTCCCTGTATCTAGAGTTAAAGGTGGTTATGAGCATCCAGGATTGTGCAAAAGCAGTATGCACTCAGCTGCTGAGCCTCTCTCTAGCTTCCATTTTTATTTTAAAATGTGTCTTTTTTTTTCCTTCCAGACAGTGCCTTACTATGCAGCTCAGGCTGGACTCGAAATTACAATCCTTCTACTTTAGCCTCAGAAACGCTGGGATTATAGGTGTGAGCCAACACATCCAACAAATTCAGACTTAGAGGTTTTCAGTCCATGGTCAGGAAGACTCAGAGCTTTTAGGTCACTGTTTTGGTGCTTGGAAGCAATGGTTGGGAGTGCATAGAAGGACAAAACTGTTCGCTGTGTGCCTGAGAAGTGAAAGAGAAATTGGTCCTTCAGTTCCATTCAAGGCCTACAACCTAAGTGGCCTTTGGGCTTCCCACTGGGGCCTACCTCTTAATGTTTTCACTGCCTCCAATTAGTGCCATGCTAGAGACCTTTGGGGACACTTAAGAGTCAAAGAATAGGACTTTCCTTTCTTCCAGGGTTTTCTGTCACCTTTGCTCCGAGCTATTAAGTGTGACATTGACAACCCCGAGGAGCTGTTGTGCTCTCTTCTTGTTTACTTTTGTCACTCATACATCTTCCAAATGCCACATTGTGTCTTTGTGCATACTGCATTATCTTTCTGGAATGTCCTTTTCCTTCTTTTCTTGGACCCCACCCCCCCCAAGACTCAGGTGTCACCTTCATGTGAGACCTCCATACCCACCTTTAGGTGACTATACTGGGAACAATAACATCTTTGGTTCTTTTGTTTGCACTCGTATTCTTCCTCAAACATCCTTCATCCCTTTATTGGCTAATCCCTCTATCTTTTAGACTTCACTTGGTGTTACTTTCTCTGGGATAGCTTCTAGGATTCCTTTGCTTCCTACTTGCAGATTTCAGGTGTTCGTCTTGAGTATACTGAAGTCCCTCTGCCTGTACCCAGATGCTATAGTAATAGAGCTGCCATTATTGGCGGCCATTGTCCTTTAGTGTTTGCACAGTACTGGGCCTGAAACACTTATGAGAGCTCAATAAGTTGTTGAATGAAACCCTGCTTTTTAGTCCGCCATGCTTCCAGTATCTCTGTGTTAGTTTCTTGTTGCCATGATAGATTTCCTGAAAAGGCAACTTCAGGGGAGAGGGTTTATTTCCAATCAGTTTGAGGCGGAGAGGTGTGGTAATTGGAGTGTGAGGTGGCTGGTCACATTATGTCAGCATTCAAGAAGCAGAGAGAAGCAGGGGAATGCTGATGCCCAGCCCACTTTTGTTTGTTTGTTTGTTTATATTCTGTCCAGGACTCCAGTCTATGGGATGGTGCTGCCCAGAGATGTGTTTCCTAGGTGATTCTGAATTCAATGAAGTTGATAATGAGGATTAGCCATCTTCCTCCATGTGCACTTGCTACCGTGGACTGACCTGTTCTGCTCCGTCTTCCCTTCCATGATGCACTGAGACCCTCTGGAACTATGAGCCTAAACAAACCTTCCCCACTTCAGTTGTTTCTGGCTGGTGTGGTCACGGCAATGCCTAAGTGACTGAGGGCATTTGCATTGAGGGGTTGTTGTAGATGCTTAGGCTGCCAGTCAGCTCAGGTCTGGGACCACATGAGAGCCAGAGTTGCTGGGGTGTGGGAGAAAGTCAGTGCTGAGTATTTCTCTCCTCAGTCTCATGATCATTTCTGGACTGAAGACAACTTTAGTACTGACCTTTAGTGGATATCAACCACCCCCCATCACAGTACAACAAAGGGTTTTTCTGTCTATTGTCAATGATCTTCTGCTTGATCAAATTTTAGCCAATCTCTTTAGTTTGAACTCTCTCTTAGTCCTATCTGTGTATTTCCTGTAAGATCCAGTTTTGGCAAAGAACTTTGCCAAGGCCATTTGTCCAGAACCCTCTGTCTTCATTATCTGATTGCTCCCACGATCAGGCTTTTTATTCTGCATGAAGCCCCAGGTGGTGGCCCTTGTTCACGCTGGCTGGTCTTCAGTAAGAATACTGTCAGGTCAGTTTAGCCAGACTCCCTCTTACTTTTCCTGTTTCCTCTTGGTAATTTTCCATCCGAGGACCCTTACTCTAAATCCCCCTGTCTGTGCTGTTCTTGGGTTGAGCCCCACCTCTCTCTGCACTGAAGGTCTGCTGTAGTGGTCTCTAATTTGGGGACACAATCTTGAAGTTTTCTTTGTGCTGCCTTTACAAGTGTGGAACTTTTTGTCTTTGACAGGTTCATTTTCTCTTCAGAGGTGTCCATGGTAGTCCAGTTACCATCTTTCTAGGGTGTCTGTCCACAGTAGCCCAGTCATTTCTCTCTCACATTTCTGGCACCCAGTACCTTCTTTGAATAGGTAAAATGCTTTAGGCTCCCATTATTGGTTGTTTTTCTCCTTGCTGTGACACCGTACCTGGCAGTCTGATGAAGGAAGAGATCATTTTGGCTCAGAGGCTGAGGGTATCGTTTCTCATGGCAGCAAAGTCACACAACATGAGGTCATATCACATCTGTAGGCAGGACACAGATAGATGTTGGCATTTCTCTTGATTGCCTTGTCATTTATTTATTTATTTATTTATTTATTTATTTATTTGTAGATTTTTGGCTGAGTATGACAGTGTATGCCCTTAATCCCAGCGCTCGGGAGACAAAGGTAGGTGACTCTGAGTTCCAGGCCAGCCAGAGCTGCATAATAGAGAGACCTATCTCTATTTTTTTTTTTTTTTTTTTTTTTTTTTTTTGAGTTAGGGTTTCTCTGAGTAGCTCTGGATGTCCTGGAACTCACGCTACAGACCAGGCTATCCTTGAACTCACAGAGATCCTCCTGCCTCTGCCTCCCAAGTGCTGGAATTAAAGACTAGTGCCACCACTGCCCAGCAGATTTTTTTTTTTCTTCTTTTTATTCAGTCTAGGGCTTTAGCCCATGGAATGGTTCCACTCACATTTAGGATGGATCTTCCAACCTCTGCTAACCCAATCTAGAAACTTTCTCAGAGACATGCCCAGAGCTTTGTCTACTAGGTGAGTTTAGATCCTGACAGTCAACATTAACTACCGCAGTCCCTAAACAGAGGCATATGCCAGGGACAGATGTAAACCTCTGTTGGTTAGCTGAAGTTTGGGTAGTTCAAGCCAGCTACTTGTGTGACACCCTAAGTATCCTGCTCCTCTCTTAATCAGAAATCTAGAAGACTGAGAATACCTCAGACTTCTGCTGGTTGGTGTACAGGCAGATGGTCGGAGATGCTGATGAAAGAAATGACCTTCCAGGGAGGGCGAGCCAGGAAAGGACAGGAGAGCTAGCAGCCAAGTCTGTGCTGTCTCCTCACAGAGCCAGAGGCACACATCCTGGGCTCTGCCTACCTAGTGCTGCCAAGCTCTGTGGACAGTGATTTCATGCTTTTCTCTCTGCTCTCTGATTGGTTTTTCATTATGCCATGCATGGCCTACCTTAATCTAGTTATTTAGTTTGTTCTATAATAGGATCCTCCAAAACAAAACAGAGCCTCAG